CCCCCCCCCCCCCCCCCCCCCCACCCCTGGTTGATGTTCATAGGGCATTAGAGGTTGACTTCGAGCCTGTAGCCCCCCAGAGAGAAGAGACACCGATGCAGAGGGCCATCCTGCTCTTCTTTGCCACCGTGGGGCTGCTGGGGTCATACGTTACCTGGGGCTTCATGCAGGAAATGGTGAGATCGGGGGTGGTAGGCAGATAGATACCTGGATACTTGTTTCGTGTTTGTTTCCCCGCTTCGTTGGTGAGACAAGACAGGGAGACCCTCCGCTGTTTTGGATTTCTCGTCGGCCTGCTGTTGTCTCAATAGCGCGAGAAAAAACTTGATGTTCATGTCTTTGTCGTCGTTGAATTGTGTACGGTAATATGCTATGCACCGGATGGATCTTGTCATGTACAGTAGTTATTGGCTAGCTTTACATACCGGTTTGGTTTCTTGGGCGGGGTGGGGGGGGGGGGTACGCAGAATTTCAGTCAATGCGCATCGTTTGGCTTTTCTGAATGCTCGTGCGACAGCTCGACAGCAGTTTTCCACAACTCTCTGGCTTCCCAGCTCCTACCCATCAGACCCCCCTGGTCACACTTCCTGAACCTCTCCTATTGTGTTTCCGGCGTCCTTCCCTCGATCGTCCGAACGTCATGTTATTCTAGGTAAAGAACACGATGTACGGGAAGACCGACAGCTTTCCGGGAGAAAAGTTCCCGTCTGACGTATTCCTTGTGTTCGGGAACCGGCTGCTGGCCATGGTGGTGGCCGCGGGAATGGTGATGCTGCCCTTAAGGAGAGAGCCAGCGGGTGGCTGGGCGCCGCAGGTGTGTTGCGTGTTTTTCATGTTTTCTGTTGTGAGTTTGGTGTGGTCGTGGTCGTCGTCGTGGTCGTCGTCGTCGCTCCTGCTGCTGCTGCTGCTGCTGCTGCCGGCATCGTTGCTATTTCCGTTGTGATGTTGCGGTTATCATGACCTTCATCCTATCCGATCTGCTTGGCGGCCCATGGGCAGGACGACACGCGGACAGCGGTGTGACGGTAGATAACCCCCCCCCTGCTTGCGGTCGAGGTTTGAGGCCACATTGTTACACCTCGGAATAAGTGCTGGGTGCGGACTAAAAAAGCGGCGTTAAGAACACTCACCCAGTGCTCTCCTAGGAAGCAGCGCCCGACATGTACACCTTCTTGACAGTAAAGAAATCGATCCATGAATGTTCGGCCCTAGTGTCTAATGTACTCATCGTCAACAGCAAACCATTGTCGACGTACAGCAGTCATGGGCCTTCTGTGCGGCGAGTCTCTGCCAGGTCCACTCACCCTCCCTCATGACGGGGCACCGGCCCAATTGAGAGTACCATCAAACAGCGCGATTTTCCAACGGTGCCAAAAAATTGACTCCCCTTACGTTATAACCCACACAATAGAGTAGAGGGGCCACGCATTGACCGACACTCTCATGTCGTTATCTCACCTCCAGTACCGCGTGTTTACCAGCAGAATTTCGCTGCCACAAGTACTCGACGCCATGTGTTTTTCGTGCCTGGGTATTGCCTGCATATTGTCGCCCGCCCGACAGATCTAGTAATTTTGACTTGCATACGCATGGGTTAATCAAATTTGGATCCACCGTTGTTTCCCTCTGTGCAGGCAGAGAGACCCATGGTTTCCTGCGGTGCATGGAAAAACAAACGAAAATTGAGGGTCCGCAGGCCCAGCCCACTGGTACGTGGAACGGAAAAGCTAAAACGAAAAAAATGTGACAAATAGACAAGCCTCAAGCAGCCTCAAGCAGCCTCAAGCCTCAAGCCTGAGGCAGCAAGAAGACTGTCGCTTTGCACTCCTGGTGCGGCTGGTCTTTCTCTCTCTCTCTCTCTCCCTCTCTCTGTGTCCCTGTCTCTACTTCTCTCTCTCTTGTCTACCTCTCTCTTCTCTTCTCTCTCCTCTCTTTCTCTGTGGCTCTCTCTATCTCCCTCTGTGCTTCTCTCCCCTCCTCTCTCCGCGCTTCTGTTGGTCTGGTGCGTTGATCGTCCACTTTTTTTGTGTATGGCCTGGTCTGTTGACTCCTTTTGGAAAGGTAGGATTGCCGTTTATTTTTGCAATACCCGATGCGCAGGTGTGATGTGCAGATGACGTCTGCATGGTGGGGTGTTGGCTTCGAGATTAGGCCCCAACGTGTGCTTGTGCTCCCCCGAGAACAGTACTGCTGTACAGGTTGGCGAGCCATGCATGATGAGGGGCAACTCTCGCGCCCTCTGGGAATTCCGTGATCACGATTTTTGCGTGTCTTCCCCAAAACCAGCAAAATGGTACATTCGAACATCGCATTTACGAAACACACAACCTTGTGTTTTGTTGGTCCATCCCATTTTTCCGGTAAACCGTCTGTTTTCTCTCCTTCTCATTTCTTGTAAGAGAACCGGGAGAGCCAGGTGGCTTTCCTTGTGCACTTGTCATGTCAGCTCAATCGAGACAAGGTCGTGATTCTCTCGATCCTCTTCTCCTTGCCAGTGATTCACCACTCGATTGTCAATACAACATTGGGGAGGCAGCAGATGGGAGCTTTGTATGGTGGTACCCTCCAACTTACGCCAGGGCTCATTATTTCCTTCCGGTCTGTAGTCAACCTCTTGGATCGATCTTACCTTTTCTGATTCTTGGTATTATGTCTTTTCGCGTGCGTGCGTGCGTGCGTGCGTGCGTGCGTCCGTGCGTTGTCGTATTTCGGCTCCCGCGTTTGGGGCACATTCTGCAGGCGCCGTGGCTGAGCTTCGCCCCGTGCTCGTTTTCGAACGTCATGAGCAGCTTCTGCCAGTATCGCGCCCTCAACTTCATTTCCTTCCCGATGCAGGTTTGTGCGTCTAAGGTCTAGAGTGTGCTTGTGCGCGCTGTGGTCGATTGCAATGATGAAGCTGGCATGTATTTTGTGTGCAGGGGTAGTTGTGCGAGTTGGTGCCGATTGTGGTGATGAAGCCAGGTGGCAAAGGTCAAGGAAAGACCTCATCTCACCCGTGTCAACCCCTCTCCTCGTCTTAGGCCGTCACGCTGTGATAATATTCCTGGTGCCACTTGAAGGAGATATCTAGGTCGGGCTTCGCAGGCTGTGTCTGTGATGTGGGAACTGGGCACTCACTCATGATCATGTACAGTACACGGAACTCAAGATATCGTTTTTCTTACACGGCGATTGGCACCCTCCGCTACTGCTGCAACGCTGCTCTTGGGATGGCGATTCCGCCGCCGAGTATACGATACATGGTACCGATTTTGTCGACGCCGATCAAACATAACGTTACAGGTTGTGTCGAAGAGCTGCAAAGTAGTACCAGTGATGCTGGTCGGCAAATTCGTGCACGGGAAGTCATACCCTTGGGTGGAGTACTTGGAGGTGAGCTGAGGAAGAGTCACGTTTGTGGTGCATCCGCGTCTAGTTTATTCTCATTCCTCTTGGTTCGTATTGGCACTCTCGCTCGCCTCTCCTACAACGTGCCAGTCCCGTTGAGAAGTGTTTCAGACCCCGATTTGAAAGGAAAGGCTGAGATTGCTGATGTTCCACGCGAGGGGGGCGGGGGGCTGAGGCTGCCAAAGCCAACACTAGCCGATCGATTGAACCCCCCTCGTGTGCATGCAGTAGAGAGCTACCAGCGCCCAAGCGCCCTTCGATGATCGATGTCGAAGTTTGTTGGAGGGTTTATTCACACCCTTATCTTACTCCGATGCACTTGTGCTCGCGTGTAGACATCGTCGCTCACGACGAGCAATACAAAGCCATGTACATAGCCTTAATGAGAAAAAGTGTTGACGCTACGCTACCGGAGCGTGCGGGGTTGTGAGATAGGCTGCCTTCCTTCCTTCCCTCTGGCGATCCGATGTGTCGTGCGATCCATGACCTATCACACGACAGTTTGCCCTGGGTCGCGCAAGGTAAGGTTGGTTGTAGGAGGCACACGATGTTCCGGTAGCGGAGGAGTTTTGTTGTAGATACAAATGCTTGACGATACCCAGTGGAGAAAACGTTCCCAGAGACATAGATAGCGCGAGGGACCATGTGGTAGTGTTGGTGGGACCATGTGGTAGTGCTGATAGGCAGGCTTTAGAGCCTGGAAAGGGCGAGATAGCTCTGCGGCAAGCGTTAGGCAGCCACCTCCCCCTGCCCATCCTGGATACAACCAAAACAACAAGGCTCGCACGTCTGATACCACATGTGTACGTCTCAAACTGAGATCCGGCATGACGGGTGCAAAGACTGTTTGCTCGGGCATGTGTTTTTGTATCTGCAGTCCTCACTGCCGCCTCAGCACCCTGTCCTCCGTGTTTTCGTCTTTTTTTTTGTCTTCTCTGATTCTCTCTATATCCGACAGGCGGTCGCGATCGCTATGGGAGTTAGCCTGTTTTCCTTGTCCCAGTCTGACGGCCATAAGGATGGGGAGGAGACCCATACCAATGTGAGAGTGTGAGAGTGTGAGAGGGAGAATGAGAGCAGCTCTTTCACACGCCGCTTGCCCCTTGCGCATTTCGGTGTAGACCCCACCGGCCTGGCCGGTGGCGAATAGTAGTGCCCGTAGTGTTCGGTTCCTCCACGCTTATTCTTTTTCTGGCGTTCATGATCCGACCACTATTGACCGTTGGACCTGCTCCCCCCTCCCCCCCCCCCCCCCCCCCCCCCCCCCCCCCCCCCCCCCCCCCCCCCCCCCCCCCCCCCCCCCCCCCCCCCCCCCCCCCCCCCCCCCCCCCCC